ATTTGGGCCGAAAATGGAAGTGGGCATTTACCTTATTCAAATCAGCGATACCCCCGTGATGGTCTACCGGCTCATCGTGGCGTGGGAATGATTCTGAGTGTCAAACTGCGAGTTACAGCGGAGGTTTGAAAGGAGTTCAACGGCTTCCCAGATACCCAGCTAAGATTAGGCCATGCCGGAAGCCGCATCGTCTCGCTGATTAAGTCGCTAAGTGGTTTTCTGATCCATATAGGTCAGCGATTGCCTGTATTGGCTTGACAGGCCCTGGCAAGGCTGCTACGTTTGGGGATTTACTCTATTTGTACAGCATGTAATAGGAAAAGAAGCCCTGCACACCGGCCCACATCTCCGGCGTCGGATTGACGAGTGTCTGGTTGCACAGGACGCCATGGATTTCGGACCAAAGGACACGACCGACTAGCCACTGAGATTGTCTCATGCTCTGCACCTAAAACAGCAGGACATTCTCACCAACGCCGATCTTCAAGCTCTTCTCGAAGCTGAAGAGACTACCACATCGTCTTGCAGGAAACGAAGTCCAGGATGATGGACTTGAGGCAGCTGAGTAATGGGACACTCATCATTCGTGGTGAGGAAGTTCGTTCAGGAACATGGAGGATGCGTTGGATATGTCATACACCAATCTGTCTTCCATCTGGTCAATTCGCAAGAGATTCTATTAGCCCTGGCTATCCTTCGACTCCGTCCATAAAAGCATCACTATCATCAACTTATTCTCCAACTTTAGCAGCTAATAGCTCGGAATTAAATATTTTTTGAGGATCTGGAGAAAGCACCCACAAAAAAATGACCTAAAAAATTCGTCTTTGATGACTTCAATGCGAAAATCGGGATTCTAGGAGAAGGGAAGGATAGAATCGGGAGATGTATAAGGACTTCGGAATGAAAATGATAACCGTCCGTTGGGCTCTTATCCGTTGTACGACTTTCCCATCGCAATTCCTTCTTCATGAAGAAAGAACAACGGTTGTGGACATGGCTATCGCCCAACGACCGACTCATGCGGAGATCGACCCCATTCTCAACGAGGGGGACCAATGAAAGACTAGGAATTGACTTCCAGAAGACTGAGAACTTGCGGCAAAGGTGCCTTCTCAAACAAGGATTTCGAACTCGAACGAATTTTGAAAGCCACCAAGGATCTGCTTGGGATAATGCCGCCGGAACTTCCTCGAATACCGCATTCCGCTGACAACGAAGACGGGCTTGCACATCTTTCCGACAAAAGATGGAGTCTCATGAAGAGATTCTGCACTAAACTCTTCCGCTCATCAACACCCTTGTCAAACCCCGTTATTCCCACTGGAGAAATACCACCACGGATTCTATCTGCTAAAGTACGCGCCGCAGTTCAGACCATGAAGGTAGCCACGGCTCCGACACCGGACCATGTTTTGGTCGATCTTTTACGAGCTGGAGGACATCGCCTACACGAGATACTTGCGACATCTAATGTCTTACCTTCAAAAGGAAAGGATCGACCAGTGGAGAACCTCCCGAACAATCCCTCTTCATAAGAAGGGCGATCAAATCAACACCCCCGTATTCCCACTAGAGAAATACAACGGATTCTACCCGCTGCAGTACCTCTTAACCCAGATCATGATGCAGCCACGGCTCCAGGGCCGGATCATGTTTCGGCCAACTTCTTACGAGCTCACCTACACGAGATACTTGCGAAAAATTTAACGTCTCACTTTCAAAAGGAAAGGATCCCCGAACCAGTGGAGCCAGAACAACCCTTCTTCAAAGGGCGATAGGGAGGATCTTTGGAATTGCCAAACAATAGGCCTGCTGAGCATGTTTACAAGCTCTTCACGAAGATCTCGCTTGCATATCAAGGAATGTAGCCCAACCTGTATAACAAGCTGGATTTCGCAAGAGATTTAGCTGTGTGGATCACAACGAGAGGTTTCGAGGTTTATCAAGTTTTGCCGAGAGTACCGTCTACCTCCCGTCCTAACCTTCGTTGACTATGAGAAAGCACTCGACAACGTCGAGACTAATGCCATACTGTCAATGGTCTTCAACCAAGCGGTGGACCCATCCTAGATGAGGATATTGGCCCACTGCTACAAGAGCTGCACTACAGCGGTAAGCTTATTTGTCACCCCCCTAACATACCACTTTCAATCGACAAGGCGCCGTGTCGCCAAAGCTGTTTACTGCCGTGTTGCAATGGGTGATGAAATCACTGGATTGGAATGAGAGAGGTTTACGAGTTGATAGGAGGTTCCTCTCGATCCTTGGTTTTGCGGATAATGAAGCGGAGACGTTGTTGAGAACTGAACGAGACTTCCTCGCCAAGCAAAACTCCTCAAAGTTCACCGGCCAGATAGGCTGACTTCGTCACGGATGAGCCAGGTGAATTCTCAGTGGGATTAATGGATGCGAATCTTGCGAACGTCGCCGCCGCAGTTCAGTCAATTTCGTTGATGACGCTAGCAAGAGGCAGAAACGGGTGGCAATAATACTGGGGCTAGCACGACGAGTGAGGCAGGTTATCTAAGTATGTAAGTAAATCAGCAGTGTATGCACTTCCAAACCAATCTATATGGTCCAGCGGACGAGATTAAGACCTCTACTGAAACATTATTTGCGTTTCTCAGCTCTACCTGATCTGAAAGATTTCGTTGCTCTAACCTGAATCTGCTCTGCAACGCCTTCGACCTTAAGCGCATATTGTCCAGTCATATCCCGGCAACGATACA